AACTGATCTTTTGTTCTGTCGGATGCTGATCACCAGCGTCACACACACACTCTTCTTACTGTAGCTGTGAGGACACACTGTCAACAGATACTCTGATTACTTTAGTCCTCAGATTACTGTAATCCTGAAGTACTATTGAGTATTACTCCAGTACTCAGAGTCTGTGATAACTAATCAGTCATTGATTATTGATGTGATCAGTGAGCTCAGTTTTAAACTTTAAAGTATTTTATTTTGAAGCAGAATTAATGAGTGTCTAGTTTTTCTTTGATTCTTTCTTTCTTTCTTTTCTAATCAAGTTTTTACTCAACACTGTGTTTACTCTCCGCCTGTTGTTATGGAGATGACAGTTTCCACCAGAAAGACTTAAAGTCAGCTGACGAATGAATCTTAAGTTTCTGTAAAATACAATAAAACCTCATTTTCCATGATAAGAATCAAACGACTGAACTTTGCAGAAAAACTCAGGAAATAACTGAACTGTTTTACTCAAAGACACAAGATGAAGACGACCACGACTCCCAGCATGCACTTCAGCACCAAACGTCCAATCAGAGTCAGCGACAGGAAGTGAGACTCAGGTGAATCTTTATGATCACACGTGATTCAGTGACAGCGCCACCCTGAGGAGATGTGGACTCATCACATCCTCAGCATCCATCAGTTTGGCATCTGGACATTCCCACCGCCGTGTTGTCCTCAAGGAACCTGATGTGTTCAGAACAGAGGGTTTGTCTGTGTTGGCATGGCGATGAACGTGGCAGCGTTTCCCTGTTTGGCTTCTTGATGAGAGCCGCGGTGAAACAATGTGAGGGTGAGGGGTGCACTTCCTGTCCATGACCACATGACGCTGCTCCGTTTACTCGCTGCCCAAACCAACTTCTCCCAAATCACGGCTCCATTGTCCTCAGAGGAAAAGGGCAATTAAAGAGAAGGCGTTGTGCCGTGAGGTCCTGCTGCGCCGCCACTTTCATGTTCGCCATCTGAGGGCGAGTGTTTGTCTGAGTGTTTATACATCTCAGTGAGGACCACACCTGCAGAATCTCAACCAATAAGGATTTAACCAGTTACAAAAACCAGGTATCACCTGCGAGTCGAAACTCAGGACAAACACAACCCTCACGTGGGTCACCAGGAGAAACGGGCTGTGATTGGTCAGAATTGTTTTAAATTCCTTTTGGAAATTATTCGAAAAAACCACGAACTGATGAACCCTGATGACTGTGACTAAGAAAACCATCGTTAACTAAAACCGTCGTTTAACATTATTAAAACAAATATTGCTAACCGTGTTAACTAATTATTCCGGTTGCCATGGCATCACATGACGCGGGCTGATGTTTTCCAGCCGTTGTTCAGAATTGAGCAGCAGTCGACCAATCAGACGTCTTCAATCATCAGCACGCATGACCCCACCAGAACGTCCATCACATACATGACCACGCCATCACATGCGCTTCTCCTCAGGTCACATGACTGTTCATGATGAAAACTTTCCAGAATAAAAGCTGATTCACAAAAGATCAACATCAGTACAATTTTATTTTTATTTACGAGTTGCTTGTCTTTACAATCATCTGCTGACATCACTTCTGATCAATCAATCAATCAACCAATCAAACAGATTTTTGTCATCACGGTCATTCTGATTGAACAGGAACTGATACAAAACACTTCCTGTTCTTCAAAATAATCCCATCTATCATCTTGTGTGTCAAAAAATAAAATGTTAAACAGGAGACAGGAAACAGGAAGTAGCAGCAGGTGTTTGTGTCTTTGGTGAAAAAACGATTGAAAGTGAATCTGTTGAAATGTTCGATCAGGTGACGCTCAGGTGAAACGCTGGTTTTCTCTCAGAGTTTAAAAGTTTTAAAATACTTTTTTTTAACATGTTTCATATTAGTTTTATATCTGAAGTAAAATTTCAAAAATCTTATGATCTACTGACGATTTAGTTTCAGTTTGAAAGTTTAAATTTAACGTTAA